AGGACTTTCTACTCTTTCTTCTACTGCTCTGCAGTCCCGGGCTCATAGGATAGGGCTAAGGTATCTCCTGTCAGTCGTAAAAGGTGACTAAAAGGGGACAAGGTTGGCAGCAGCTTGAAGTGGCCTCGAGTTGCTGCAAGATGGCGAGGGAATCGGGGAAGGTTTACCCTTCTCAAGCCCAAGTAGCGTGCTCAAGCCCAGTACCGTGGGACACCGGTGCGTTCCATAGGAGATCCCGGGGTCCCTCCAAACCTACAGTAGGTGGCCACCGAGGGGGGTTTAAGGACCCCACATAACCCTGTCATATTACATCAGGATGGTATCTTTTGAAGATTTCCACCCCGATACCAAAAAAAAGCCCGCTAATACGGGTTCGATTCCTAAAAGAGACAAATATTTGTGCTACCCACAGATAGTTGTTCCGGATGGCTGATCGTAAAAAATCTATCAATTGACTACAAGGTAGGATAAGGGCAGGGGAAAGATGATGTAGTCAGATTAAACCTTATTTCGAATTTAAAAAACCTACCAAGTGCGAGCCGGACTCGCGCACGAAGTGTTCCGTACCATTATCTATAAAAATGGCAAAACAATCATGTCTATTGTATGGGAACCCCACATATTACCATTTTCAAACATTTCTTTACGTCTTTTTTGTTGTTATAGCCGCAACATAGAAATACATCTTCTTTGCAAATTTCTACTGACTAAACTATCACGGTTCATGAGATACAATCTGGTGACAGACGGATTGATAACGAAGTCTTAGTAATAGAGTCCCGTTTTACCCTTTTAGACGGAACCTTAAAAAGTGTTATATTTATGAAATGAATCCGCGACTCAATTCCACTGGATAGAGGGACTGTGCTATTGGTTTGTAATGCATCAAATTAGGCAACAAGATGCGAACATTGATTTATTAGTTTTGCGACAGCCTGAAATTAGCCTGTCTACTCGGCGTCGTGTCGTTGTCTCACGATGCTCAATTTAGTGCCTGGAAGATTCTGAATGATTGGTCTGTTCATGCGCCGATGCTATAAATGCTCGAAAATGTTATATGCCGCACTCAAAATCCTTCGTACAAGTAACCTTAAATATAGATTACGACAAATTACATTAAAATAGTCAAATGTTAACTTATTACAGTTGCAAATGATTGAGAAGTATTGAAAACGATATCCATTGAAAAACGCCAATTTACGAGTAGTTAAATAGATGTCAAAAATGTATTTATTTTCTTTATTTAAAACTTTATGACATTATGCCAAAGGCAATTTCTGCCAGCCAACCTAACGGGTGTCCGTTGAAGTTAAGGCAGGTAAACAAATCAAATTATGAATAAAAAAGACATAAATAAACGTAGTTTTATGACTACTTTATAAATATTGACTATAATAAACTACTAAAGTGGACAATTGTATAAACCAACACTAACATACATATATAAACATAAATAGCAATATAATAATCCATAAAGACACAAATAAATACACATATAAATACAAGAACACTAATACATACTTTTATACATAACAGTTGTTTTATCAAATTTTCTTTTCCTGCGATACGACATTTAGCCATAATTATTTTGAGAAGTACCACAAAAGAATTGACTAGATGGTAATTTACGATATCAGTCATACATTTATATATCATTCATCATCATTTCAGGCTGTTAAAGTCCACTGCTGAACATAGGCCTCCCCCATAGACTGCCACGAAGTACGATCCTGAGCCACCTGCATCCATCGACTTCCCGCAAATTTGCACAGGTCGTCCCTCCACCTAGAGGGGGTCGTTCAACACTGCGATGTCCAGTACGAGGCTGCCGCTCCTGAACATTTCTTCCCAACGATAATTAAGAACATGAGTATGCAATCAAGATTTTTAAATTTGTATTTTTTCAAAGAGAAATTAATAACAATAAAAAAAACTCATACAGGAAACTAAAAACATTGTTAACACCTATATCATTTCAGGATTGCCCTCGATTTCTCTGGGATGCCATCATCACAGGTTTCCTTATCATGGTACCACCTTTGGGATATCTCCTCGCCAAACAAAAGAAGAATCATCAAAATTAATTTGCATTTAGAATTGACAGCCACTCAAAACTGATTTTTTTTTATCGAAATGGCCAGTACTGCGCGATTATATATAAGAGCGGCATTCATAGGCACAAAGTTTCAAAGACCTAATAATTTATGGCAACAACTTCAGGCAAACCTAATAAATAAATAACAGACAGCATATTACGAAGTATTTGGAAAACTGCACTTGTAATACCCGTTTACATTAGTAGTCGCGTTTTCCGTTTTATTCAAAAAAGAAGCAATCGTCCGCTTAGGTGTACTTTACACGCGCGCCGTTTTGTTTTGGTTCTGGCTCATCTTGAAATACCAATACGCTGGATTGCTGATTTGTTTTGGGATCGTATCAATAAATTCAACTGTCTTAGGGCCGCGCAACAGTTTCCACTGCTGCACGAATGGGCAGGTCCGGGTAAGTACCACGACCTCACAGATGTCCGGCGTAAAGTAGAAGTGTTACGTTTCTGTGTTTCGTCTGGTGAGTGAAGTAGCCGGGGCCCACATTTATTTAAAGATGGCAACGCATTTGCATCCCTACGGTTGTTGCAAATGTCCATGGGCGGCGGATTTACTTAGCATCAGGTGAACCGCCAGCTCGTTTGCCACTTTAGACATAAATAAATCAATAAATCCATGCTTCGTCACCTGTCAGTATGTCACATATAAAATTTGGTGCCCCTTCGTTGTATCTGGTAAACGTGGCATTGCACCAAGTCCCGCGGTCCGTTTTTCGAGCCTCGGTCGAATTGTGTGGGATTACCGCGAGCATAGCTTTCTCACACCCAAATGTTTGTGCAAGTGTGGCATGGTGTTTCATCGCCAAAAGCAGATTGAAGAAATTACTCTTAAAATCGTAGAAAATCATACTACAAAAAAAATTCCTGATTTAAAATCCACGTTACGTAGACACGCAATTTTTAAAATGACGCCACAATGTAAAAACAATAATTCGCACCGTGCGTAGAATAACGTTCTGCGGTCACATAGAACGAATTTAATTTTATCGTCGGAAAGTCTTAATTATTGTCTACGCTTTAAGATGACATTAAACATGACGTCTGACTTACAGATATTGAGATTCAGAATAGAACAACGTTCTATCTGATTTGTGCTCCGGAGTACTGTTTTTTGTACTGACTAGACTAAGCTTACGAATGTATTAGACGAGTGTAAAATACTCTGTTAGAGTCAATTGATAATTATTGCACAGTCACCCACTTTTTATGGTATTTTCGTTGAAAAAAGTTCTACACGAGTTTATGTCATACATATTTTCCGAGTTTTTAGTAGAACAACGTTATATATGAACATGTGACCCATCAGTTATTGCCATTTGCCACTTTTATTTTCTAAATTTATATAATTATCAATTTAAAAGTATACTTTTTGTTAATATACCTAATTATATCACAAACCTCAAAAATTGTAATAGCAACTGCTATGCATAAGAAAACTATAACCGAAATAAAAAAAATAATTTGAATCGGCCGTCCTGAACAATTAGAATTTTGAAGATGTCACGTTATTCTACGCAGGGTGCGAAATTGTCAGTCAGATGTAAAAAACCGCATTCTACAGCCATATAGTTCCATTTTCAAATGTTGTAATTATTTTTTAAACATTCTTTATGTAGGCCAGTACCGGAAACTTTTAGTGTGACCTATTTATATAGGAAACGGAAACGGGCAAACCAATAACGGGTTGTGTGTTTGTTTGTTTGTTGTGCCGCGACGGAACACGAAATGTATTGAAAATATAAAGATAATGAATAAACAAAAGACCGACTTTGTAAAAGGAATTTCATGTTTTTAAAACAAAATTAATTTGCATTTAGAATTGACAGCCACTCAAAACTGTTTTTTTTTCGAAATGGAAAGTACTGAAGAGCTTTCAAAGAGCTAATAATTTATGGCAACAACTTCAGGCAAACCTAATAAATAAATAAATACATTTCTCGTATTACTTCCAGGTACTCGTATTCGCGCTTTTATTTAGGTTGGCAATGTAGGATTTTATGGATGGCAATTTTATGCTAAGCTCTAGAAAGTTAAAGGCATTCTATAAAAAAATGAACAGTATAAATAAAAGAAACCAAATCTCTCGTTCGTTTGTGTTTTATTTGTTTCCATACCTAATCCATCACAGTCTACAAAGTAATTATAACGCGATCGCAATAAGCATCTTCGTTCACATTATAAACAACCATTACAGTAATAAAATAATAATAATATTAAAACATCGTATGCATTCTCGTAATGTTTTATTACTTATATAATTTAATACAACGAAAAAAAAAAATATAGGCAGAATCGGTGCATTAGGGCGCTTACACACCGGCGAGTGTACGCCGCGTTTAAACTAAGGGAGATATTTATTATGTTTCCGCAACTAATTTACGGATTTCATGTCTTAGTTTGATTTATTAACATTTCTCATGTATGTAACAGTGACGTAAAGACAACAACAATTCTGTGTCCCCAAACGCTAGTAATGAAATGTCAAGTCAAAAATCAGTCAAATTTATCGTGACGAAGCATTTAGTAACGGGAAATTGAATGTTTCAGTTAATCTACGGCTTAAGTACATGATATTAAACAACAAAATAATAATGTTTGAGAATATGTACAAACGCTACTGGAAAGTGGGGGAGGATTATCTAAAATGGCTATGAATTAATCACAACCCGCAACTTTACAATTCCATCTATGTCCGTCGTCGTAACAATTCTTAAATTTACCAGTAAACCGTTAGTGAACGTTTGACACACAGTTAACTAAAACGGATGGAGCGTTTAAAAAAACGCCGCGTTCGCACCGGCCGGTGTGTAAGGCACCTAATGAGTAACTAAGACTATTAGAGGAACATCTTTTTAAGTATACTGCATTGCTTCCATGTGTCATCTCTGGATTATTCCGCCTGAAACAACAATGGACGTTTGTCAATCGAAATTGGAGAAATGAAGTGATACACCTGGAAAAATACTACAGAAAATCTGTGGAAATATTTAACGCTATACAGACATATACAGCGTGTCGTTACCATCGCGACAATAAATGAACACACGTCTAACGCTACTTGCCAATAATCATAAAAAATATTAACGTTAAACAAAATCCATACTTAAAAAAAATATTTTTCAAACAAACTAATTAAGTAAAAAAGAAACAAAATTTGTAACATCCTAAACAACTCGCGCCACAGCGTCGCATTACAAGCCTCTCCTTCTAACAGTATGTTTTGTCTCTTTTAAATTCATTCAACCCATTCATATGCTTTGTGACCTTTACAAATGAACTTTACGTTACAGTTTTATACGTAAGGGTGTTCTAAAATTCTTTGTTTTGGAAAATTTAATAACTCGGTAAATATTGATGTTAAAAGAATGTAAATGTTTAATACAATTTAATAAAGTTATCCTCTATATGTGTGTTCATTTATTGTCGCGGTGGTAACGACATGCTGTAGATGAGTATACTTCAGTTGAAGATTAGGTTCAATTTTAAGGCAATTCTTCAATTTTAGGCTCTCTCTCACTGAAATTGAAGGCACGATTAGTCACAATTCTTTTAATACGTTCCATTTGTGAAAGATATATAAAAAAAGGAAAAAAATTCAAACAGTCACAGATTTTCTAGAATCTAGGAGATTCAAGTTAGTTCAGATTATCCATACTAATATTATCAATGCGAAAGTAACTCTGCCTGTCTGTCTCGGTTTCACGCCAAAACTGCTGAACCGATTTAAATGAAATTTGGTAACAGAAAGTCTAGACCCTGAGAAAGGACATAGGCTATTTTTTAATTGGAAAGTGTTGTAAAGTTTTGAAAATATGAATGAATGAATGAATATTCTTTATTGCACACACCATGGTAAAAAGAATACATAAAAATAACAATTAAGTAAGGGTTGTACAATGGGCGGCCTTATTACTTAAAGCAATTTCTTCCAGGCAACCTTTGGATGGACATAATATGAAAAGAATATTTTAGGGGGGAATAAATATCTTTCTTTAAATTATATATATAGTTTTTAATGAAAGATTAAGGACTTAAACGCAAGCGGAGCCGCGGGTGAAAAGCTACTCTCTATCTATATATATATATATATATATATATATATATATATATATATATTAATGTGTGGAGTTTATACTGTTCTTTCTCACATAGGCTAAGAAAATACTATTTTATTATCATTACTACTTATTTACTCTTTATTGTACCTATGTAATATTATAAACTGAGCTTTTAAAAAACGTTGAGTCTCTGCCATGTCTCGTCTCAACGAAATTGAACAAATGAAATTGTCAATGATGTTTTTATAAATATAACGCATGTCCATAATGCGCGGCGTTCAAAAATTGTCTTTACATTACATGACACTAGCGACCCGCCCCGGCTTCGCACGGGTGCAATGCTGAATGTTTGTTTTCGACATCGGAGTAAATACCTCTAAAATGATCAGTGTTTCTCTATTATATTATGCATGATTTATACATATAAACCTTCCTCTTGAATCACTCTATCTATTAAAGAAGACCGCATCAAAATCTAAGTTTTAAAGATCTAAGCATACATTGAGACAGACAGACAGCGGGACGACTTTGCTTTATACTATGTAGTGATTGTATTTGAGAATACTCGTAGATTAATATAGTTCAAACTTGTAATTTAAATTGATCGCGGTCCGATTAGTAGAATTTAGACCACTCAGTGTCCACTGGTCATTGGGAATCCTCGATTATGTCTTATTTCATATGTCATATGTCACTTGTCTCATGTCATATGTCTCATGTCATATGTCTCATGTCATATGTCTCATGTCATATGTCTCATGTCATATGTCTCATGTCATATGTCTCATGTCATATGTCTCATGTCATGTCTCATGTCATATGTCTCATGTCATATGTCTCATGTCATATGTCTCATGTCATATATATTATGTCATATGTCATATTTCATTTGTCATTTGCCATATGTCATTAGTCATATGTAATATGCCATGTGTCATATGTCATATGTCATATGTCCCATGTCATATGTCATATGTCATAAGTCATGTGCCATGTGTCATATGTCATATCTCATATTTCATATGTCTCATGTCTTATGTCTTATTATACGAAGCACCCACCTTAGCCGGGTAGACGAAGGTCCTGGCCAGCTGGCTACCAAACATGTTGGCCGCTTGGCAGACGAACTCGCCCATGTCGCTCCACCGCAGCGACGTGATCACTAGCTCGCCGGAGCGGAGCACCTGCGGGTTTCACGTGAGAGGGTGGCTAACGTTGCAAATGGTTGCAAATGCGTTGCCATCTTTAAATAAAGTGGGCCCCGGCTACCTCACTTACCAAACGAAATGCGGAAGTGTAACACTTCTACTTTACGCCGGTCTTCTGTGAGGTCGTGGTAGTTACCCGGACGGACCTGTCCATTCGTGCAACAGCTTCTATAAATTTTTCAAACCGATGTGGTGAGGAATAAAGTTTTATTAAAGTTAAGTTAAACTTAATTGCATTCAATGTCTTTTTTGCTAACAGATAAAATAATTAGTTCTTTTTCTTTTGTTGCTTAAGAAGTGTTACTTCTTACGTGCATACATAAGTACATACACATGTTCTTTTGTTTATGTTTGTTACATCATCACTCCGTCGTTTATGGGCCGAATTTAAAAATTCTTTCTGCCTCGGGTTCCGGTTAGCTTCCGTGTGGTATCAATGGAGGTATATTATTACGAATCGGGGAACTCCCCAAAACCAAACAGAAAGTGTGCAGCGATTGAAATGGACGTTTTCGTGCCATCCCACATTACAGTACCCCTGTCCAATTTAGTGAGGCCTCGGAACTCTCGAGCCGTACCTTCATTGCGAGGGTCCCTGGTGGCTGGGCGGCCGGCGTTGTCCCGCCAGCTGACCTTGGGCCGCGGGTGGCCCTTGGCGCGGCACGGCAGCACCACGCTGCTCCCGATCCAGTCCACGAAGATCTTGTAGCTGACCAGGATGCGAGGCGCCAGCGGCACCAGCTTCGACCGCTCCGACGGCTCCGGCACCTCACCTGGAGTCAGCAACGGGCATTTCGGGGGACGTAAGTGGTGTTAAACGTACATCACTACATAGTATAAAACAAAGTCCCGCTGTCTGTCTGTCTCTATGTATGCTTAGATCTGTGAAACTACGCAACGGATCTCGATGCGGTTTTTCTTACTAGATAGAGTGATAAGGGGTTCATATGTTTAATGAACTGCATGCGTGCGAAGCCGGAGCGGGTCGCTAGTAATCTACAATACTGTGCAATTAGACTGCGTGGAATAGGTAAATCTTTCATAGGAAGTATACGTTTCAACAACAAAATCCCAGCAAACGTTCAGAATAAATAAGTTGCTTCATAAAAAAAAAAAAACGTAAATGATAAATAAAATAAACATAAATATTTTAAGACACATTTTATTACACAACATTTTCTAGTCCCAAACTAAGCAACGCTTGTACTATGGGTACTAGAAAACTGATAAACATACTTAAACATACTTTTCTTTTGTAAATAAATACATAAACTCCCAGACACTAGAAAAACACTATGTTTAACACACAATATTTTTCCAGTAGTGGGGATCGAACCCACACCCTCAGGCGCAGGAGGCAGGTACACTACCCACTACGCTATTCGGGTCACCGATACCTACATAATCTACAGGACTTTACAACTAGACTGCGCGGTATAAGTAAATTTTTTAAGGGACAATTTTTACGTTTCTACGGCAAAGTCCCAGAAAAGGTCCCAAATGAATTAGTTGCTTAATTAAAAAAAAAAAGATTAAAGGGAACGTTTCTGTGTGAAAGGTTATTACATAAGTGATTGTTTAATGATAACACACTGGAAGTGAATGGATCGCTCCAGGCTCTTTCAAGTGGACTCTAAAATTCAAATCAGAATTAGAATTAATAGAATTGTTATCGAACATATTAGAAAACCAACGAGGCGCGATTCGGACGCACGAATGGTTCCGTGCCATTATATATATAAAAACGGCAAAAAGGTCATGTCCGATGTATTTGAGCCCCACTTGAATATTTTTTTATTCTGTTTTTTAGTATTTGCTGTTGCAGCGGCAAGAGAAATACATTGTCTCTGAAAATTTCAACTGCCCAACTATCACGGTTCATGAGATACAGCCTGGTGACAGACATACAGACAGACGGACAGACAGAGTAGTCTTAGTGATAGGGTCCCGTTTTACCCTTTGTGTACGGAACCCTGAAGCGGGGTAACAAAACAGAAGTCAGCTGTGCTTACCCGTGCTATACACCACGGTGGAGGCCTTTACTGTGATCGAACCCGCTGCCACCAGGCAGGAGTACTCCGCCCTGCCCTCGACCCTCGGCACCAGCAGGGTCGAGGAGACCCGCGCGAGGGACGTCGGATTTGTGTCTATTATCTCGTTGGACTCTGTGTCGTACTGAAAACGTAATGAAAACGGATTTAGAGAAATGGTTTAGCACAATGTTAACTGGATGCGAATTATAACAGTGGGATAATCTTTTGGTGCAGACTTGCAGAGTACGGAAAGGTGTGTTTCAAACTTTGTCAATCAGATATCCCCGGTGCGTGACGTAAGATTTTTTTTTATGTCAGTAAGTGGCAAACGATCCGGCAGTGCACCTGATGTGAAGTGATTAGCGCCGCCCTTTGACATTTGCAACGCCATTGGGTTGCGGATACGATGCCACCTTTTAATAAAGTAGTTCCCGGCTTCAGCAGATCACGCGGCAGACGGAACGCAGAAGTATAACACTTCCACTTCACGCCGCTCTTCTGTGAGGACGTGGTACTTCCCCAGATGGCTCTATTCATTCGTGCAGCATTGTGTGAGTGGCCCAAACACATTAAAAAATATATCAACGATATCTCCGGGTCCTCCGATGTATTGAGAGTGGCCTCTGAGGGGTTTTAGTAGATAGAAACTCCACATAGCCCTGCTATCTATAAAGGCTCTTTCCAAAATTTTCTGCCTATACCAAATATACTACTATACCAAATAAGGTCTAGCATCCATACTTTGTTAATATTTTCTACAATGATCGATGTACGGTAATGGCAATAGACCTTGTTTTGTTGCTATTTATTACAACCTTTTGTTCGTAATTTTCTACGTCGTAACATTTTGTTCACTGTTTCAAACCAATTCCGGTTGGTAAGTTTTCTAGTTTTGTTCTCCATCAGTTCGATCGTTATAAAAAATCCTAGACGCTTCGTTGCGGTCCCTAGAAGTGTGTGGTAGAAGTTAAGCCTACCTCGTAAACCGGAGCGTCGTTTTTGAACCAATGCACAGAGGGCGCTGGGGCGCCGAGGGCTTCGCAGGTCAGCTCCAACGGTGCACCTGCCGGATGCAGCGTCAGGGGGCTGGGCTTCCTCGTCAGCGTGAGGAATTTCCTCAACGCCTGCCTCGATTGCACTGCGGGGGTGAGGACTCCGTTAGTGCTAGACCACGTACAACCAACGGTCTACTGATACGATATAGGGCACAGCAATCCTCGGAAATAGAAATTGTACTGAATAGTAGTGGAAAAGAAAAACAGCAACAAAAACTTGTTTACACAACACACGGATAAGTTAATAGGAATAGTTAAAGATTAGATAGAATTAGTTTAGTACACGGATGTGTTTTGGTCATCATTACCAAACTTTATTCGCCACAGCTAGCTTTATTATTTGAAGATCACCAGAATATAAATGTATGTAAATAATCCTAAATAAGAATTCTATTTTTTTTTATAAATCACCCATCCAAAGTAACTGACCAAATTTATTTTATATTTTTGTATTTCATTCACCGTAATTACCTTTTATATATATCTTATCCATTAAATTCTCGTGTATTCATAAATATATTTATAGACTCCTACAAGACGCAATAAGAAAGCCTAAGAAATAATTTCCAAGCAAGAAATATATAAGCGAATCGAGAGTACTTTAGAATCAATGCAAGTACAAGAAGTTGATGATCTTTCATTTCTGGAACCTATATAATTTTTTTTAAAAGTATTTCTTCTTTTTTTAATGCTAGTATATTCATGATGAATCTTTTAAATTGTAAATTTTTGTAGATAAATGAAAAACAAATGGGTACAAAAACAAAACGAAAACATGAAAGTTCGAATCCCCGAAGCGCGGGAAATTTTTGTTAATTTATCTAAAAAAAAATTACAATTTAATACCTATAAAAATTGAACAGTTAAAATATTCATTATATTCGAACCATTTAATTCAATGTTGTTGTCCATTTCTAGCAATTTCATGTGTCTGTTGACATTCGAAGATCGGCCCCCGCCGAGCAGCGCCGCGGCGGCGAATAGCAGAACTAAGTGGAACATTCTTCAAAACTTCGTACTGGGTGAGATTCAAGGTACGTATATCTACGTCTGAAACAATAAACATATGTTGTTAAGTATAATACGAATAAACAATTAACACTTACACAGTTTGCCTTAACATTTGGTCATTTAATTGTACGGAATACAATCGTGTCAGTGACAGTTTTTTCATCTTCATTAATTCTTTTGTGGCAAGAATGAGAACTTTTTGTTTGACATGTTCATAATTTTACACAAGTTCTCGGCACATTTTGGGATAGGGCACCAAACAAATAATTAATAATCAAACGTCCAAGATAAAAGAATCTTATTTCGACTAGTGAGCTTAATATGGTTTCTAGATTAGGAAATAGATGGCGCTATTGCCAAATTAGCCTTTTTATCACCTTACCTAACGTTTCTCATTCGTAAGTAGCTTATTCGTAGACAGCGCCATTTACTTATAAATATATATTAGGCTTCAAATGTGAACATAGCTCTTCGTTAATGAAAGCAATTAACTGATTGTTTCGTATCAAGAATCTGTAACAATTTGAAAATAACACTGCGGGGACAGTAAACTGGTTGACACTGTATTAAACGTAATGGGGGACTTTTTAATGGTCCATTTTGAGAAAGTGAGAAAGCATTGTGTATTTGAAGCCATTATTACAGCAATTCTTTTATAAAATCAAAAATAAATTGATGGAATTGCTGTCAGTACTATTTTTATATACAGTAATTTAGTTATTAGGGCGAGAAAATAGAGATAATAAGATAGAGATATAAAGGTAAGTTTCTTTTAATTTATTAATAGCGTTCGCGCAATCCCTTCAAGTTCAATTGTCCATGTTTAGGTTAATTATTTCCGTGCATAAGTCATGCTAATAATAAGTCTATTTTCGTGTGTTTGAAGGATTTTTTAACCTTAAAGTTAGGAAGCGAGCAGGCAGTTCACCTGGTGTTAAGCGATGATCGCCGCCAATAGACATTTATAAAACCAGAATGGTTGCAGATGCGATGGCAATCTTTTAAAAATGTGCCCTGGTCACCCCACTCACATTTCGGGGATTGCAACCGGGGCTACGGCCCCGGGGCCTCCACGAAAGAGGGGCCCCCACAATTGAGACTTCAACTCAACTCAACTCAAACAAAATCAGACTAGTAAATACTTGTAAACAACTTTTCGTTTCATATATTTTTTTCGCGTTTTACCTCTACCTACAGTACTTTGTAAAATATTAACAGAAAGCAATGGAATATAATTTGAGTCCAAGGGGCCTCCACTCCTTTGCTGCCCCGAGCTTCCGTGTTTTGAGAAGCTTGGGCGAGCCCGCTCTTTCTTACAACAGCAAAAGATTCTGCATGTCCTTATCACAGCGAAAATTGCAATATCACAGTTCAAAGATTGAATAAAGAGATTTCGACTTTGTCTTTGGCTTATCTAACATTAAGTGAAATTATAATCCGTCTGTATTCATCTGCAGTTTTCAATAATAACAGAGAAGTGTTTTAATTAAGGAGAATAGAATAACTTAAGTTATATTGGATTTCTAAGAATACAAATAACTAATAATAAAAACCCAGCGCTTGGTTACATGGGCCAATTTCTAAAACACCCGCAAACATGTGGGTGTTTTCCGTGTGTTTCACACATTCAACTCGAGAATGTCTTCTTTATTCAGGAAAATATGAACAAAATCACAAGATGAGAACGATTCATTTCCTTCTTAAAATTCAACCTCGAACTTATTCCCCTTATCGGTAAGAAAAAATGATCCAGTTATAAGTTCATAAGAGATCAAAGAGTTAGGGGTTGGTCCAAGAACCACATATTTCGGCGAGTAAAAGCTTAACATGGTGTTCAGATTGGGAAATAGATGGCGTTATTGCCAAATTAGCCTTTAAGCAACTTATGTAATTTTTCTTATCTGTACGTACAGAAGCTACGTAGCTTATCCATAGGTGACTATTCGGTTTATTAAATATGAGATTATAATGATAATAAATTGTACGTAACTAAGCACAACTTGCTTTGGATACTAGATAATTAATAAACATGCTTAAACGTAATTTTCTTTTAGAAATTAACATATATTATAGATATATAAACATCTAGACACTGCAAAAACACTATGTTCATCACGCAGTATTTTTCCAGTAGTGGGGATCGAACCCTCACCCTCAGGCACAAGAGACAGGGGCACTATCCACTAAGCTAATTGGGTCGTCGTAACATAAGTAAATGAATTTTGATCCATTTTCGTTAACTATTGTGTTTGCGAGAGAATATTTCAATGTATGTTTTATAATTAAGTTAAACAAAGTGCAAGTTTAACTAAACAGGGTTTTCGTTTTCTAATTTTGTTCTTTATCTTCTTGCAACACACGACCTCGAAATAGGACAATCCCTGTAGGTCTTCTATAGTCAGACTCAAAGTGTATGAGCACATGCGCGGCCCTACCCACAGCGGAGGGCCCAAACCCGTGGGTTCTGGCTAGCCCACCGGTTCTGCGTCAGATGAAGCTTTAATAGTCTCGGGACTGAAAGCATAAACATCAGTTAATACAAGATATAAGACTCAAAGTCAAATTGTCTTTATTCGATATAGGCTTAACTTAAGCTCTTATTGAACGTCAACAAAAAAACTACCACCGGTTAACTAAACCAGACCCATAAATATATTAATAATCTACTCATCATGTACTCTTTCACTAGACCTGAACAGAGAAGAATCAGCAAGATCTGCGGTCTTGTTCTTTTTTTTTTTTTGATGCAAAATATCCGTAAAGAATAAGTTAATATTTAAAACAGAATACATCTTTCTTCTTTTCATCTGTTATCATACAACTTTAGCCGTTTCTAGGTAGACATAGATAACACACAAATGATATCTGTTTCACGGAGATTTTTCAAATTTGACCTCAGTACAATAATTGAGCCTCAATACAATAAAGTGGCCTATATTCTTCTTGTACAGAAATTTTAAGGAATATGAAACTGCCTTTGTAAATGTGATATAAATAACGATCGACGAAGGTTGAAACAAGTTGATTTATGAATGATGTTCCTCGTTAGTATTTTTTATGTGAAAAATTGGTAAGCGACGGATGGCCCATCCGATGCGAAGTGATTACCGCCGCCCATGGACAAACACACCTTAGGGGTTGTAGATGCGTTGTAATGTTTTAAAAGACAAATTAACGACAAACAAAACCGACTTCAAATATCTTGCTCTGTATTCATTTTATAATTGATTTTCAGGAGTTACCTAAGTGTCTACGGAGCCCAAGATCCAATACCAATGAAATTAAAATGGTACCACATGGGAAGCACAAGCTCTCAAATAAAAAAAGAATAACGTAAGAACGAACATAAAAATATATATATAAAAATCCAGTCGAATTGAGAACCTCGTCCGTTTTTGAAAGCGATTTTCGATGACGTCACTTATCGGACGAAACGTGAAAATATAATACGTGCATTATCTCCGGTTTACTGGGACGTTGTGGTACTTTCGCGGACAAAACTGCAGAAGCTGATGCGTGGCCCAACCAGAGTATGAGCCAATGAGTTCAATAATTAAAAGAACAACGAGATGGCCAGCTATTCGCCCGGTATTGATTCCCTGTCCATGGACACCCAACACCCTTATTCTAGCCCCGGTTCTCAACGGGAGAATGAGTACATGTATACTTCACGCCCCACTGTCAGGCTGAGGTTTTTTTAGAGAAAAAAATGGCAAAAAAGAGACGGAGTTTCTTTGGCCCGTTTCATCTCCGTTAGAGGAACCTCATTACGAAACGGTGGTAGATTAAAAAAAATACTATCGATAGACGAAATGTACATTTCTTACTTCGATGAATAAATGATTTGATTCGATTTGTGGTACATCCCCGAACGAGGTTGCCCATTGGAGCAACAGCGGTAGCTACTACGTGAATAGTATAGGTTCACGTATAACTTTAGATTCTGCAACTCAACTAAATGTTAGTTCGGGAGAGACGAACTTTATTTATGAAACAAAAGAATCCTACGTTACTTTATAAGCTCTAAATTACTATACTACTAAATATTATATATTATAAATATTTAATATTTAATAAAATATTTAATTTTTTTTAATTTTTTTCATGGGAGAACCGTTACCGTTTACCGGTTTGTATTGAAATAAATGCAAGTGTTATAAAATCGTTTATGTATTAACGTTTTATAACTAGAGTATATACTTTAAAAAGGATTTGAACTATTTGTTTTGTGCGATGGTGTGTTTTGATCATCCTTGCCTCGGCTTTATTATCTAAAATACTACCACCAGAGCATGAATGTACGTAAATAATGAAAAATAAGAATTATTTTCTACTATAGTATATTAAAAATAACTAGCAATCTTTAGAGCTTTATCGCGTTTAATAAACATTTAACTTCAATGTAGGAAATTTTTGATAAATAGAAGTGAATGCTTTAATATACGTTTTGTGAAAATTTTTAACGCTTTTTCATAATAGACAAAATCAAATATTTTCACAATAATAACCGTTGTCACTGATAATTCAATTAGAAAATAATAACATTATTTTATGAAAGACAGTTGTTTGAAAGTGAAATATTAATTCACAACATTAAAAAAGTTCCATGTCATTTGAAATTGTAAATTTCATAAAAATAAAACAAAATGGAACCTGTCCCACAACGACTCTGCTAAAATGTTAGTATTTCATAAAATGTAATTTGATTCATAAAATAAAATATTTCAACGTGCTTTATCTCAATTGTCGAATAGCACAATGAATAATATAATAGTAATGCTATGCATACAGATAATAAAATTCTGTTTAATTAGCGTTCTTTATTTTTGCTCCGTTACGTTATAAGAATTAGTCATAGCTTTTAAAACATACTTGACATTAATATCTTATATCACACACACACACACACACAGAGATAGAATATTAATTAAAATACTCACCGATATAAAGATTTAATTTAAATATCACAGTCTCGAAACAACAATTGAATT